CATTTAGCTCAAAACTAAATATTTAAGTTAAATATTTAGTTTATAAACTATGACTTTTATAAATGTATGAATCATATGGTGAAAAACTGACATTGAAAAAAAAATCTGTTCTTTTATTTCTTATAAAAAGCTAAATAAAACAAAAATATCGATGGTAATTTTTGACTTTGTAACTTTAACGGCACCTCATAGGGAGGAGCCAGAAATACAGGAATTTCAAAAGCAGCTCTTCTATATCCTCATATTTACCTGCAGCAGCAGAGACATCCTGCAGGGAGAGATGAATGAAAAATATATATTTAAATATCTAATAAGAGGTGAGGTTTGTTTTCAGATGCATCATAATGACTTTAATCAAACATGTTAGAAAAAGTTGTTCTCAGTAATGTTTGCAGCACAAGAAAACACTGGAAACCTGAACTGATGCTTGTAGGTAAAATATTCTGTTTTGCTATTTAAGAAAAGTGTTTTTTTTTTTTTGCAGATTTTTTGTTTTTGATTTAATTCAAATAAAACCTGATACTTATTTTAGTCCCAAGGTTTGATTCAGAGAAGCAGTTTTGCCTCAGCTTTCATTAAAAAAAGCTGATCTTTACTTTTCCCACATTTTTGATCTTAATTTTCACTTGAGGGCTGAAGTTACTGCAGTTCGACTTCATGCTGACTCAAAATGTGAGCGCAGAGAAGATATTGATGATTATTTCATTTTTATTGCATGTTCAGCACGCCTGAGTTCATCTCATCTCCCAGCTGAGGAAACCCAGCAGCAGCACTGAGACTTGACAAGGTAGTCTGAAAAGTAAACTCCTGCGTTGAAACTTTTCCTTTGAAGCAAGCAGGGGGAAGAAACTGGAGTCAGTTTTAGCTTTTTATTACGCTGCAGCTCAGTTTGGGTTTCTGACAGCATCTGGAGGAAGTTGAATCTGAATTTAAGAGTTTGAGTTGAAAAAACAAGTTTAAATATCTGGTTTTTAGAGTTTATTTTAAGTGTATTAGCTTTTTTTAAAGGTTGTTTTAAGGTTTTGTGAAAAACGTGAAAACAAAATAGAAAGCATTCTTGGTTTAATGCACTGCATTTTCTGCTTATAGGAAACCTTTCTAATGTTTTTGTTCCAGTTAATGATTTGCACAACTGAACAACCTCCCGGTAGGAAAAGCAGGCACTTATATGTACAGGAATAATACCTCTTCCTCCAGGCTTTGACAACCAGATGCAGTTTAAGTTGAGCTCTCTAAAATAAAACGAGAGACCAGCGAATCGAGTGTTCACTTTGTTGTCTCTCCTGAATTTCTGGAAATGAGTGTCTGCATCAGTAAATTATCAGTTTGTGATTGAGTTTATTGAAGGTGTAAAGAAAAGGAGAAATCTTGTCCAAACTGTGGAGGTTTATGGCTCTGGAAAACCTGTAACCTTGCTGTAAGCTTTCTGTAGCACGTAACAGAAAATGTTGGAAAAAGAAACAGACTTTGACCGTGTTGATGGTTACAAAATATCATTTCAACATCGACGGAACTGCAGGTTCTGAGAATCTGTTTGAGCTGAAGGAAACTGGAGGTGAACAAGGAACAAGATACAAACTGCCACTGTCAGTGCTGATAAATGAGCTCCTGATGCAGGCTGGAGAGGAAATCACAGTGAAAAACTGGGTGAAACACAAAGAAGATGGAGACAGAATGTGAAGAGGACAGACTGAAAGTGAAGGAGATACCTGTGACTGTACACATTTCTCTTTTTACACTCAGATCTGTGGCTGCATGACTGCTAGAACCAGGAAGCTTCAGTTGGAAAAACAGATGAACAAACAATAAACTTGACTGGTTTGAGCGTGAATGAGTCGTTGCTCTGGTGATTAGATGCTTGTTGTTTTGGAAAATATCCCTGATTTATTAAAATCCCCACTTCCAAGGTCCGCTCGGCTACAGTTTGAAGAAATAATGTCTGTAAGCTGATTTAGATCATTTCCTGTTCTGGGCTGAAATATGCATGTCCTGCACCCTCATTAGTCTTTCTTGCTGAGTCATCAATCATGCGCTAAGGCTAAGAGGAGAAAGATGAACGTTGCTGCCGGCTGATGCATATTTCCAGGTTGTAAAGTTGTGCCTTATTTATCCCGGGTCAGGTTTGGCTGTTCGAGGGTTGCATGAAGGCTGATAACGGGTCGGTGTTTGTGGGTTTATCTGCCACACATGGTGCTGGGAAGGAGAACGACTTCTCCTCCTGCTGGTTTTCACCTCATGACTCTTACTGGTGTTTCTGACTGCAGTTTGAATTCTCTTTCTATGTGGAAGATATTTTCTTTTAAACATTTAGTTTTGACAGAACATAACTTTAATAAATGACTGGTATATTCCTTTTTAAGAAGGTAGTCCACGTTAGCCGCTCTCAGTTTAGCCGTTAGCTTGTTAGTCGGGTCAGAACTGAACTGTTTGGTGAAAAGCTTTCAAAATCTGTTTATTCTTTCTTTTTTTTCTGTTTCAAAATAAAATGAGAACTTAGTTTTGATTTTGAGACTAAGTTAGGAAAATGACGATTGCAAAAATAAGAAATGCTACGTTTAAAAATATATAAATATATATATTTTAATCATTAAAGCAATGCGTTATACAGTGTTGCATAAAGTACCACAAAGTGATATTTGAGTAAAAGTACAAGTATCTTACCAAAAACTTACTTTGTTAAAAGTTAAAGTCTCCTTTAGGAATTTTACTCGAGTAAAAGTCTTAAAGTATCTGATATTTTTTGTACTTAAGTATTAAAAGTAAAAGTATTGATTT